CGGCAGCCGGTCCACCAGCAGCATGCGCGGGAAGCGCCGCAGCAGCGCCCTGGTGCGCGACGTCAGAAAGAATACCGTCTCCACCACTGCCTGGTCTTCCACGAACACCAGCTTCACCTGCGGGCGGGGGCAGGGAGGCAAGGAAAGAGGTCAGAGGATGCTGGGGTCTCCCCGTCCAGCTCCCCGACCTCGGTTTCCCCTTCTACGGAAATGGGAACCCATTCATTCTTGCCTGCATATGCATTTATTCTTTTGACCGGCAGGAGGCAGTGCAGAGAAATGGTTAAAACCAGACTGGAGCCGGATTGCCTGGATTTGAGATCCGGGCACCACACAGCTATGTGATTTTTTGCACATGACACTTTTAGCTTCTCTGAGCCTCAGTTTCCTCCGCCGGAGGCTGGCTATTCATTCCTCCGTGTGCTGAGAGGCAGTCTAGGTAGTGGGTCTCAAAATGTGGGCCCTGGACCAGCAGCATCACCAGCAGCATCACCATCGGTTCCTGGCACTTTGACAGAAATGCACCTTCTCAGGGCCACGTCAGACCTATTGAGCCTGAAACTCTGGAAGCGGCCCGGCAATCTAGTTTGACAAGCCCTCCAAGGGACTCCTATGCATGCTTAAGTTAAGGATGACTGGTCTAGTGGTAATGAGCTTCGATTGTGGAGGCAGATCATTTAGCTTTGAGTCCTACCCCCACCACTTCTGAACCCGGTAATTTAACCTCTCTGTGCCTCAGTTTCCTCCTTAACCTCCATATTCCCTGATTCTTCCTTCTAGGAACTGAACATTCCTTTCTCCACGCACTGAGAGGCAGGACAATGGTGAAAAGCATGGCCTCTGAGGCCAAGATCCCTGGGCTGAGATCTTGGAGACGCTGCTTCCTCGCTGTGTGCCTTTCTGCCAACTTCCCTAACCTCCCTTTCATTTGTAAAGTGATGATAATAAGAGCATCTCTGTGATTGGAAAGATGAGATGCAGTCAAGCATTTAGAACATTGCCTGGTACATATAATATTACTGTTACTACATATCCAACACATAGTAAGTGTTCTGAAAGTGGTCATTATAATTATCATCTCTGTTCAAACACCACGTCATCAAGGTCTTCTCTGACCTTCCCAACTAAGCAAACACCCCATCTCTCTCTGGCTCCTTCTGGCCATGGCACTTACCACCCTTTGGCAAGTCATATCTTCATTTGCTCATCTGCCCATTGCCTGCTTGCCCTCCTTAGGATGTAAGCCCCACAAGCACAGGGACATTCCCATTCGGGATGGTCTCTCTTGGCCTCTGCCCTATGTGGCTCTTCCCTTTGCTGATTTTATTCTGCATGCTTCTGCTGTAATAAACTGTAGCCTTGGCTATAACAGCATCCCTGATGCTTTGAATGGTACCTGCCCCAGAACAATGGCTCAGTACATCCTGAGTGAGGGAACTCACACGAGGGTGTGCAGCCATGTCCAAGGCCACATCTGTAGGGCAGAGGTTCAAGGATCAGACTCCTGGATTTGCCTCTTATTAGCTGTGGGACTTTGGGCAAGTGACTTCCCCTCAATGAGCCTTGGTTCTTTGTCTGGAAAAATGGGGATGTCTATTTAACAGGGTCATGGATGGGCTAAAATGAGATCACTCCTGGCCAACGCATGGAAGGACACCTGGGGTGCATCAGATCTCAGCGGTTCTTACTGTCTGTCTCAATCTCTCAGCAATATTCAGCACAAGTCTACATGGCTGACCCCAATAACGACTCTGGACACCAAGGCCCAAGTAAGTGTCCTTGGCTGGCAACACATCATTGTTGTCACACGTCATTGGTGGGAGAATTGAGCACTGTCCACGGGACTTCACTGAGAGAGGACATCCGGCAGCTCATGCTGGTCTCTCTTGGCCTCTGCCCTATGTGATGCTGCAGGATAATTAAGGAATCAGGGAGACTGATGGGGTCGCCCTATGTGGCTCTTCCCTTTGCTGGTTTTATTCTGTATCCTTCTGCTATAATAAACTATAGCCTTGATTATCACAATTTTTCTGAGTTCTGTGATTCCTTCTAGTGAATCATGGAAACTGAGGGTGGTCTTAGGGACCCCCAGCTATACCAGAGGAGAAACTGGCCCAAGGCCGTAGCACTAACAAGTGGTGATGCTGGGATCCAATGGGCCCAGACCATTAGGAATGATTGGAAACAAAAGCAGTGGGTGGGAAAACATGTGTGGGTGGCATTTTAAGGGGTAGGGTGACATTTGATGAAGGTGGGGCTAGGTAAATGAATACTTTTTTTTTTTTTTTTGAGACAGAGTCTCACTCTGTCGCCCTGGCTGGAGTGCAGTGGCATGATCTTGGCTCACTGCAACCTCTGCCTCCCGAGTTCAAACGATTCTCTCTCCTCAGCCTCCCAAGTAGCTGGGATTACAGGTGCCCACCACCACACCCGGCTAATTTTTATACTATTAGTAGAGACGGGGTTTCACCATGTTGGCCAGGCTGATGAATACAAATATTTACTGAGAAAATATGATGTGCCATGTGCTGGCTCAGGCACAGAGAACAAATGAGACACACCACAGAGTGAGAGGAGACAGCCCGCAGGCCAAGGGTAAATAAATATAAAAAAGAAGGCTTTGGGTGTGCAAAGCACACGAGGTAGTTTCTCTGCACCAGGCACATTTCCAGCAATTAATCTTTCATCCTCACAATATCCCTGTAAGACAGATACTATGATTATCACCCCCTTTTTCAGATAAGGACACTGAGGCACACAGGGCTTTAGTTGCTTGCCTGGAGTCACCCATGTGATTTGCAACACCAGGTGAGCTGGGATTTGAGCCCTCACAGCTTGGGTCCAGGGCCTCTTGTTCCTGACCACTCTACCCTACAGCCTTCCAAAAAGTGACCAAACAGCCCTGACTTAGGCACACAGTGGACAGCAGTGCATTTGGCAGAGATGGAGAAACCCACAGAGGAACAGATTTTGAGGATGTGAATGAGTACAGGTGTCCTTTCAGACACACGAATTGGTAGCACAGGGAAGCATCTGCCATAGACAGCAGATTCCATGAACATGAACATCAGAAACCATGCCTTTACTACTTTCCATTCACACCTCTTCCGATACGTGAGTAAATCCTCCCTTTTTCATGTGATCAGAACGATACTATTCATCAAACTGCCCCAAAGAAAAAACTGAAGGAATAAAAATAATAGCTGAGGCCGGGCACAGTGGCTCATGCCTGTAATCCCAGCACTTTGGGAAGCCGAGGTGGGTGGATCACCTGAGGTCAGGAGTTCAAGACCAGCCTGACCAACATGGTGAAGCCTCATCTGTACTAAAAATATAAAAAGTGGCTGGGCCTGGTGGTGTGCACCTGTAATCCCAGCTACTTGGGAGGCTGAGATGGGAGAACTGCTTGAACCCGGGAGGCAGAGGCTGCAGTGAGCCAACATTGTGCCACTGCACTCCAGTCTGGGTGACACAGAGAGACTCCATCTCAAAAACAAAAACAACAACAACAAAATAATAGCTAAATATTGAACATATGCAGGGCTTTCTACTTTCTGAGCACTATTCCTCCCATCCTACATATACACACACACACACACACGCACACACACACTGTACCTTAATTCTCACACAACCCCAACAACCCTATAAGATAGAATTATCCCCATTTTACAGATAAATGAAATAAGGTTTGGAAAGGGTAAATAGGTTGTTCATAACTTGTTCTGTGTCCTGTAGCTAGTAACGGGCACAGCCAGAACATTCATAAAGCATTCAGCACCTATCAATACAAATAAAATCAAGCCACCAAAATCAACACCCCAAAAATGGCTTGATGTAAAAACAGGCTATATGGCATAGAAAATATTCCCTTTGGAAGCCATGAAAAGCTAGAAAAGCTGAAACTGAACTGCAGGGGGCCTGTGTAACTACAGAGCAGGGGAAACACGAGCCCCATATTCAGACAGGGCTTTGGGCGGCCCTTGATGAAACAGCACCCTATGGTCCTGCTTGCCAAGAAATTGCAGTTCTCCCTCTCCTGGGCACTTACTAGCATTGTACCTCCCTGCCCCCTTGCAGGTAGGCAGCGTCATGTGACTTGCTTTGGCCAATGAAGTGTGAGCGGGAGGGAGCTGAGGCATCACATCCAAGGAGAAGCTTTCACAGCCACCCCTGCCACATACAGTTATTACCTTGGGATGAATGCCCATCCTCCTGGGTCCCAGAATGATCCAGATAAACAGTACTCCCCGAACATCCCATGGTGGCCACATAGGTGAGCAAGAAATAAAATTCAATGAGTTCAGCCACTGAGATTTGAGGGCTGTTCATTATTACAGCAAAACCCAGGCCATCCTGACTCACACAGCCTCAAGGCCCTCTATCACTCACCCTCTAATTTTTCCTTTGAGGAGAGAAACAAATGCGTTTAGTATGCTGGGACTGTTGCCTATTTTTCTTTCTTTTTTTTTTTTTTTTGGTGTGTGTGTGTGTTTTTGTTTTTTGTTTTGTTTTGTTTTGTTTTGTTTTGAGATGGAGTCTCAATCTGTCACTCAGGCTGGAGTGCAGTGATGTGATCTCGGCTCACTGCAACCTCCGGCACCTCCCCCCCAGGTTTAAATCATTCTCCTGCCTCAGTCTCCCAAGTAGCTGGGACTACAGGCACCCACCAGCATGTATTTTGTATTATTTATGTATTTTTAGTAGAGATGGGGTTTCACCATGCTGGCCAAGCTGGTCTCAAACTCCTGACCTCAAGTGATCCACCTACCTCAGCCTCCCCAAATGCTGGGATTACAGGTGTGAGCCACTGTGCCCAGCTCTATTTTTTACCTTCTTTTTTAGAATTAATTATTTGAATATGCAAACATCCACATGGTCCAAAAGTCAAATAATGTAAAGTGATATGTAAAAGGCCTTACTCCCACCTCTTTAGTCTAATCAGTCTGCTTCCATTCACTATTCTACCCCCATCCACAGTTCTTGGTATTCTTCTAGAGTTTCTTTATATGAATATAAGTAAGCATACCTATAATTCTTATTTTCTCTATTTTATAGATAATACAGCATATCATGTACAGTTTTGCATTTTGCTTTAACTTAAAAATGTGTTTGAG